TTTTAAGATCGATCAAACTAAGATAATTTCCTGATGTAAGGGAGAAATTTTGCTGCTCAGGAAAGTACTTTGTTTGCCACGTGACGACTGGTGGTGGCAATAGCAAACTGTGACTTTTTTAAACTCCTTACAAAAGCATATATTTGGTCCATTGACAGAACTTTGATGATAGCTAACATTTTTATATTACCTATTAGAAATCAGGCACCGTGCAAGATATCTTGCTTGACAGATGTATCATTTATGCCCATTTTATAATTGAGGAAATTCGGAGGCAGAGACAGAAGGGTTAAAGTGACTTAGTGTTTTGAGTCTCTATTAAACTTGAAGGGTCTTCTTGGCTAACACTTAGAGAACCCTAATTCCTAAATCACATTGATGAGATAATTTTGAAAGTATTAGAGAAAGAATTGAACCAATGTCTTTCTTTGACACTGATAGTGATGACAGTAACTTTCTAGTAATCCCTTTGGATACTTTGTAACCAATTTATAACATTATAACACATTAGCTTAGATACACACATACCCCTCTGCCAAGTTTGATTAAAGAAAGGGAAGAAACTGGGTTCCCTAAATAAAGGCACTCTGTGGCCTCAACTTTTCCTAGGTAACTCTGGGGGGAGGACACCCCTTTAGTAGGGTTTACTGAGTGTGCCAATATAGTAGTTTTTTTTTTTTGGTGTCGTGTACTAAGTCCCTTGTTTGCCTTAGATATCAGCAGTTTCTTAGCCAACATTTTTACAGCTTTTCAAAAAAACAACAAAAACTCTAATCCTGCTTAACTGACGAGTCCATTCTCAAGATTAACAGGGAGTGAGTGTTAAGGAGGCAGAATTCTAATTTCCTGGAATGAAAATGAAGATTGTTTCTCCCAAATTTTAACTGCTTCTGCTTTGAAAGCTGGCTTTGGGGTGACCAATAACATCCAGCACAGAACCTGGCACATAGTAGGCAACAGGCATTTAATAAATAAATGTTGATCATTTACATACTACTCCCATAAAAGAATGAACAGCTTTTTCATTTTTTTTTCTTTTTAGGCAATTGGGGTTAAGTGACTTGCCCAGGGGCACACAGCTAGTATGTGTCAAGTGTTTGGTCTGAGGCCAGATTTGAACTCAGGTTCTCCTGACTTCAGGGCTGGTGCTCCATCCACTGTGCCACCTGGCTGCCCCAGCTTTTTCATTTGGAAAAGATATTTTCATTCTGCCATTTAGTGGGAAGCAGTATCAATAGTAATGTCAAAACTTGTGTCAAAATTAGCTTTTTGTCCCTGAAATTCTTGTAAGTAAAACATTCTTGCAAATTTGAATTAAGGGATACTGAATGCCATATCAAGCTTCAGCTTCCAGGAGTACCCAAACAGCAGTGCAAGATTGAATTTAATCTACAACTTAAGGAGGCAAGTATGGTTTGACCTGAGTTTCATTTTGCTTCTTATATATATTTCAGTTTTATTTACTAAAATTGTCTCATTTTTAGGCCATACTGACTAATTTAAATTCTCAATTCCAAGTCAGTGAAATGGATCTACGTTTTGTCATCCCACAAAGCTTCAACACAGAGATTTAATTACCATAATTCACTGTTTGTTTCACTAGGTGAAATTGGCAAGATCTTTCTTTCTCCCTCTCCCTATGTATTCATATCTTTCTGTTGTATTCAGTGTGTAGAGTTAAAGTACATTAAACAAACATGTATACACACACACACACACACACACACACTTTTTTTTAAAGATGTTACTGAGAATAATGAATCATGTTCAAAAAGGAGGAGAGTTTCTTTTGGAGCCCCTCTGAGACCCGAATTATTTGAAGAAATTTACCTCCCAATACACCTCTTGCAAAAGGAGAAAGCCCAGAGATGAGCAAAACAGCATCCACAACCTGGGTCCCGAGAAGTCAATGATGAAGGCACAATATTTTAGAGAAGCATTTAATCTGTCTGTAGTTTAAATTATGCATTTCTCTATGATCCATACCCTAACTGCATTTTTAAGAACTAGTGGTATATATTATCCTATCTTCAGAAATGATTTGCTATTGAATATCTTTTTAAATGGAGAGGGTGCAGTTATTTGTTGTTATGTTGGCTTCTCATACACTAGTGACTCAAGGTACTCCAGCCTGTAAGGGGAGCATCAGGTCTTCATATAGAAGATGCTTGAACATGCTTGAGTGCCCTGAGTTTCTCTAGGTCTGCTATGGTTATTGCAGTGTTTTAAAAAAAGCTGAGACATAAAATCTCATTTAACATTTGCCATCATACATAGGATGTGATGCACAAAATAAGCAAAACCTTTCTTTGCCCATTATACGCTCTCCTTGATCAGACCCTAAACTTGCAAGATCTCAGAGCATCAAAGGGAGGTGACACGTACACTGCAGGGCCCTCAGACTCTAAACATGTTCAGCTTCTGCTTTGTGCTGCTGCTATTCGTTTTATACTTAGGGGGGCAAGTAAGATAGTCCCTATTTCCTAGGGTCATTGGGAAAAGAGAAAGTTCTTTGCTACCCTGACAAGTGCTCCTAGGTAAAGAAATGAATCCTTTGCCAAGCAACACTCCCAAAGGACATGCCCCTGTAGTTATGGTTGCTGCCACTGGGTGCTGGTAGACAGTGAACCTGCAGCACTGAGCTCTAGTAGTGATGGAAAACTCCCTTCATGCTTTTCAAGCTGATGGCAGGGGTCCCATCTACAGCAAACCAGTGAACTTGCCAGCATTCCTAACAAGTGGCCAGACAGGCTTTGTTTGAGGACCTCGTCTATCTCCAGTTGCCTTGGAGAAGCAATCCTCTCCAACTCTGGGGTAGCATAGCTCTCATTGCTAGGAAGGCAAGGCCTAAACTAATGTGCTCAGGGCCAATGGTGGCTGGCATCGTTGTTTTAAAGAGACATATGTGTTGCTATATCCGTCTGACTGCTACCTGGCAGCAGGGGGAGACTTTTGTCCCCAAAAGTCATTGAGCCTCGAGGGGTGCCTTTGCAGAGACAGTCTCTGTAGGATTAGCGCTCAAAGGGTTGTTATCAGACTCAAATGAAATGTCTGTCACAGGCTTTTGATGCACCTTGGCCATATTCAGTTCTTTATTAGGGAACCATAGCACATCTTGTCATTTATAAACTGTATAAAAATGTCCACTGCAGCAGACGCATTCTAAACCACCAGAAAAAGAGGCTTCCCACAGTCTAGTGGAAGGGAGACCGTGTACAAAAGACCCACCCCAACAGTTACCAGCCATTCCTAATCTTAAAAAGAAGTCTGCACCTAGCAGGGATAATAGTGCCTTCTCAAAATTACTGCACAAGAGAACAACATCTATTCCCAAAATCCAGACCATCCAGCCCCACAAGACCCTGAGCACACCATCGGTCTGGAGGAGATCCTCCTCTGCAACAAGAAGCCAGGCGTTTGATACGCTACAGATGAGTCACGCCAAGAGCGGAGCACCAAAAGACAATCTCATGGGTATTTGAGCAGGGAATCATTTTCCGATGGTTTTTACAGGCAGGGGGCAGGCAGTCCCCTGGCTTCAAAGAGCTTAAGACATCAGTCTACCAACACAGGGAATGGACGTAGGAGGAACAGTAACAGAGACAGTATATGGCTGGATCTGACGGTGCAGAGCTCTGTGCGGGGTCGAGGTAAAAGATGTAAATAAAACAAGGCTAGAAAAGTTAGTAATCTCATGGGAGTGATAGAAAGCTGCTTTTGGAGTTTGTCAATAACAGGAAGGAGTTGAGACATGATGGGTAAGACTTGTGTGCTGGGGTTAGCAAAAATCACTTTGGCAACTACTGTAGGAAAGAGAAAAGGAGGGAAAACAGGAATTCGGCACTTGTTACAAATCAGTTTGCAGTGAGAGTGTGGGGCAGCTTTTAGATAGAGTACCTGGTGGTATTTGTGAGTCAAGAGAAAAGAGGAGTTGACGTGATAGATGTGGAAAGAAGAGATAAATGGCAACATTTGGCTGGATGTATCCAGCAAGAAAGTGGGGGAGAGAATGCCTTGAAGTTAGTTGGGTGACTAGAAATAGACAAGATATCAGTGTTTAGGGAGGTTTGGTTTTTTCTTTGTTAATTGTTTTATCCAAAAAATGTTCATTTATCTTCTGTTTGAATGAATTTTATTTGTATTAATTGTTGGTTACTTTTCTTAACAGTTGTACTCTCTTGGGCAGATGTGGTGAGATTAGGTACCAAAAAAACCACAAGCACACGTTGTTATAAAACATGGTCTTGAGAGAAGGATAACAAAAAAGCAGAGGAGATTAACCCCAAGGTCAAGGTACATTACAGAAATGTGGAGATCATTTTTATATGTGTATGTGCATGTTACACATATACATAATACATGTGTCTATATACATATATATCATCATGTGTATTACACATTTACATCTGTGTACTTAGGAATGTCATCTCAGCAAACATTAAGAAATACTAAATTTATTTTTGGAAATATTTCTTTTTCCTTTACAGAAGAAGCCTGCAAACCACTCACAGAATCACTTTAGCAAACTCTCCCCGCACCCTAGTGATTGGGAGAGCTCATATTGAAAAAGTGACTGTGCCTGTGTGGCCCTGTAGGATGCTGAACAACTTTGTTTTCAACCCTAAGATGGATATGAATGAGGATTTCGCAGGTGAAAGAGTGTGCACAGAAGGCCATGAGAATGCCACGTAGGCAGGCAGATTGAACTGCCTGCCAAAATGTGTTTCTAGAAGCACAATTTTAAAAGAGCTGATAGAATGTCCCCAACTCCTGCAGAAGGGGGAGTGCACATTCTTTGGAGGTCCTGGCCAATTTTGTGGTCGGATCTGGTGGGATAGCCTATCTTTTCAGCTGCAAACAAACCAGCCCCATGATAACTCTGAGTTAGCATAGTTACGCCTCTGGGCAGGGCTAGGCTGTATCTTGCGGTATGTGGTCGGGAAGAATAAAGGTGGTTGTGAAGCAACAAGAGAAGCAGACAGACTGGCCTAAATGCCAGTCAAGAACTGAAAGCCAGTGCAAGGAAGCAGGAAAGGAGAGTTGAGTTTGCAGCCTAGGTTGGGGGCCTTGGACTTTGAAAAATATCATTATGCCTAATGAGCAGAGGGAGTCTGTTGCATTGTTTGAAGTAGGAATGAGAGTCAAGAGTTTGCATCTAGATTGATTGCATGCCCGGGATTTTGAGAAGAGATCTCTTTATGAATAGAATGGAAGGGGACTCTGTCCCATTGTTGTCTTGTTGGAAGAAGGTGGAATATGACTTTTTTACTTTTAAAAAATACATATCTGTAATATATACAGTATAACTGTATATGTGATATTCTATGTGTTTATTACATACATTAATGTTACCTATTTTCTTCATTAATAGGATTAGCAGACATGTTGGAAACCACTATCAAACAGAAAACTGCAAACGTGTCTCCTGAGATTGGCACAAATTTACACAAGTGCTCTTCAGGAGACGAAGACCCTTTAGAACGTAGATCAGATAATGACTGTAGAGGTTGGTTTTCCTTTTTTTCTTCTATGAAACTTTGGAATGGCAAGTTATGATTCGCCCTTGCCATGCCAGTAGAGGTTTCATGAGTTGCTATAGCTAACCTTCAACCCAAAGGGCTGGGCCCTCACCGAATCACAATGACATGACCCATCCATGTAGAATTTTTATTTTATGATGAAAAAGGAGAGCTAACACCTAAACGTTCTTGTGTTATGACAATTTAAACATTTCTTATAAGGTATACTTAGCATCCATACAAAGAATCTTTGACTCTTCAATCACACCCCAGTCTAATTGCAAGTCTTACCAGTTCTCTCTCCAAGGAGAAAGGGATTTATCCCTTTTTTCCCACTACTGTGGCCAGCACTTCTAGGCCCTAATTGCTTCTAGCCCTTAACTGTTAAAATAGCTTCCTAATTGGCCTCCTCTCCACAATCCTTCCCTTCACACAGATCTAACCCATAGTAATTAGTATGCCTCTTGGGCATCTTTAGTTGGCTTCCTCTTCCTTTAGGATTAAACACAAACTCCCAAAACCCACTTTTTCATATTGCTCTCCTTCATGTACTCTGTATTCCAACCAAACTAGCCATAACTTAAAGTTATGGATGTCTATATATTATATTTACATGTAATGCAACATATATATCCATATTTTTAACATGGATGGGCATAGATTTACATCATCTTACTAAATATTATCATTGGCCAGGAAAACGCAAGACTACAAAACAATAATTTGGGTAGACCTTTCATTCCTAAAGAAGAATTAGTCCCTAGACTAGTGAGCAGAGGCATAGTCTTTGTTTCATAATTATCTTTATTCTGTCATTTATTACAGCACAGAGATTGATGCCTACTATTCCTAACACAACAGAACAGCTATATGGCCAGAGCATTATATGCGCCGTGCCCCGAATGAAATCGTTAAAACCCTAAAGAAGATCTCTGAAATTAGATGTGGTGAAATAACAAACATTCCACTTGAGAAGTCGATGTAGACCCCAAAATATTAACACCCAATATTTCACCTTTGAAAAAAACCTGTACATCAAAGGAAAATGTATCAATGTCACATCTCAGCAGAATTAAAAAAACACCAGCACTAGATCAAAAAGTCACATACGTGGAAGAAACATTTGAAACTGGATATGTAAAGAAGGCCACATCAAAAATATCTAGGAAATGTGTAAGTACGGCAGAACATCGTCCAGTAATAACATCAGCTACAGCTACACCTGTAACATCAAATGCGCAGGCCAACACTTTTAACGTCAAAGGAACTACCTCTTTAAAAATAAAATCAAATAAAGAGCCATCTGTCACTGATCAGCCAAGAATTTCCTCACCAAATGAAGAGCACTCTCGGACGGGAGCCAACAAAATAAGTCTAAAGCCAGGTGGTGTGTCTGTAGATGTGCAGGCTGCCCCAGGAACTGTAACACCAAATTACATCAATGAACCAGGAGGCATGAAGAAAGTCATAAGAACCCCAGAGGGAAAAACAAAAACAGAAGACCTAACTGGCCTCAGAGTGCCTATGGCAACTCCAACATCAATGGCGGCAGAACTGAAAGTAGACAAAGAAAACAAAGTGGCAGAGTCTGCTGTGGATGATGCAAATTCTGTTCAGGAAAATCTTGGGACAACCCCAAAGGAAACTGAAATCCAAAAGAAGCTGATGAGGACAGCAGAGCAGCAAACTGAGGCAGAGGATCTCCCCAAGCAGCTCATGAAGACTCCTAAACTAAAATGTGGCTCCGTGGAGCATCTGACAACAGTGGTCAAGAGACCGATGAGAACTCCTAAGGACAAATTGGAAGTAGGGGAGGAGGAGGTGGGTGGCAATGAAAGATCAATGATGAGTTCGCCTAAGGAAAAAAGCAACCAAAATATGAACATTAGGCCACCTCTTAGGCAGAAAGGGCCATCTGAAGATCTGGTAGGCCTCAAATATAACAGAAATCAACCTGCGCATATTCAAAAGAAAAACACAGAAGAGCAGGCATGCCTCAAAGAGCTTAGGATGACTATTCCAAAGCAAATCCAAAACTGAAGCATAAACAAGTCCCTCCTAATAAAACAAGTACAGAAATATGGATCAGTAGAAGATCTGACCACCACCAGGAGACTGATAAGAATGCCTGAGGAAAAGTGAGAACATTTAATAGAAGATGGGAAAGTTGTCAAGAAGTCTGGTAAAACATCACAGAAAAAATGTGATCCAGAATACTCAATGAATGAAAGACCCAAAATACAACTAATACAAAACACACCAAGCAGCCTAGGGAAACTTAGAAGAGAACCCAAAAAAGAAGAAGACCTTCGAGGTCATAGGAATATGACAGTTCATAAGGAAAAGGCAAAACCAGGAGAAAACTTAAAAGGGTTTTAGGAGAGTTTTGAAAATGTCAAAAGTAAAACCAGAAGATCTAAAGAGATTCAAACTGATGGAGAGGGCTAGACCTAAAACTGATCCTGATGAAAGAACAAAAGTTAGTGGTTCTGTTGGTGAAATAACATCTCACACACAACGAAATGAAAAGAAGCCACCAAAGGTCTTAAAAGAACTAAAATTGAAAAAAAGAATGGAGAATACAGGAATGATGGTGTTTTGTTCCAGGAATACAAAGGAAATATTTCCTAGTCAATCATATAAGATATTCCTAAATAGTGAAAAGGAACCTTTTAAGAATTTTCCAGGGATATTAAAGGGTCACAAGGCAGTACTGCACCCTAGAAACAGAAATAAACCTGTGCAGGAAGTGAATTTGAATTGGAGTGAAATCAATGAGTTACACGCAGAAAATGAACAAAAAAGTATCAAAAATTTGCAGGGGAAGACCACTGTGACTGAAGATGGACTGGCTTCAAGAAAGAGAAGCAAGTAAAGTTTCAAAAAGAACATATGCATACAGAGGAAGGAATAGATACCACCTAAGAGTTTCACAGTTCGTGAAAAGATGGAATCTTTAACATCTAGCACAACATAATTAAGTCTGCTAAGAAATCGCAAGAACTCAATTTAGGTTACCAACTGAACTATGTAAGACAGAGAAAGAGGGAAGAAACTTAAAGATGCAAGTCCCAATATAGGGATGATGACTTCAAAAACTAGAGGCAAAAACTAGAGGAAAAAAAGAAACTGCAGAAGAGCTTCCCAGAGAAATTTTTGTCATCAAGATCACATAAAAAGGAAGAGAGTATATGTATGGAGTGTCTAGGGAAGAGTCTCCTGGAGAAGAAAGCCAAGGAGAGTCCGTGTCATAGGTCTTCACCATCTAGAAGTAGGGGCATTAGATTACTCCATGCTGCCAGGGTGGTACCCGAAACATAGCTAAAAGAGCCAAAGAAGCCTGTGAAAGTCCATTAAATTGGATTGAAGTCTAGTGGTAAAAATAAAAAGATACAGGACTGAAAGGATCTAATCCTGTATCAACATCCAGGAACATAAATAACAATGACAAATGCACAGTTATTTGCCTGGATATCTTTAAAAATTCGTTGGTACCTGAAGGAATTTTATGTTTAACTAGAAACAGAAACAAACAACCTCAAGAAATTCATCAGATACCTAGTCTAAAAAAGATTGTTGAAAAGCAGCTTCCAAGCCTGGAAAATAAAGCCCAGGATAGAGTGCAAGAATCCTTTAGAATTGGAAGCCAAAATGAAACTGACAAAGAGCTCTATAGTACTCCTTTGCTGAGGGCCATGGAGATAGCTTGTGCTGAGAACAAAAATAGAGGTATGACTGAAGACCTGTTACATTTAAGGTCTACCTTGAGAAGCAGACACACTACAGAATGGATAGGATTTAATCCATTGTCAAAGGATATCTTACCTTAGGGTAAGATTGGAAAAGCAACTGTCTCCTGATTTTTCCTGACAAAGAGAAAGCAGATCTGTAAAGATCTGCTAATCTTAGCAAAGATGACCCCTCCACCACAGCAGGAGAATCAACCCCAGAAAAAGTCTCAAATTGGAAGAAAACTTTTTACAATACTCTTTTGAGAAAGAGAATAAAATCAGAGACACCTAGTAGCAAACTGTCAGAGCCAATTGATGTTGAAAAGTATAGCCCAGAGAGATGTCTTCTAAAATCTGTCCCACGGGTCAGTGACAATCAAAAGAAACCCAGTCAGAGCCTTCTTTGTTTACAGAAACCAGCAGCAGTGCTGTGTTAGAAGATAACAAAAACCAGACTCAAAAAAAGTCGCTGAGGAACCCATAAAATTAAGTAATGACCAGGAGTTTTCAAACTCATGGAAAACAGAAAAACACAACTTAAGCAGACCAGACCACCTCCCATGGCCAAAGTAAGAGTAAAATCAGTATTTGAATTTATCATATGTAAAAGATTCAATTTCTGAAGTACAATTAGAGAAGGATAAACAAGCTTGCTGAACAAGATTGTATATCTATTCAGTTGTGAGGTTAAAGTTAGGAACCTCTTTTGCTTAAGGCAGTTTTGGTGAGAGAGCCTCCTCCCCAATGTAACCACCTCAGAGGTCTTTGCCACCCCTTTTGTACTGGCCACTCCTTTATGGGAAAATTTTTCTATCTCAACATCCTGTTTCTCAGCAGGGAATTATTCCCTTGCTTGGGAGACAAGTTCTATGGCCACTATACAGGTAAAGACCCTTCCCAGGGGAGGGATGGTAAATGTCTCTGCTGGTCTCTTGACTTGCACCACCTGTAATGATGCCTACAGTGAGTGATGTGTCCCCAGAGCTTTACCTCTGCCAGCTGTACCACCTATTCTGAGGGAACACTCCCTACTTGCACCTATGACCAAATTCCTCCTGCCACTCTCCTGGTAGGTATTTCCTATTTAACCTTCTCTTCCTAGTTGACACACAATATTACTGCCCCCTACTAGCTGTAACACTCTTATTGATTTTTGAAAGTTTCTCTCTTACCTATATAATAGTAGCATGTAATCATACTGATCCATGGGGGCATCCATGCTCAGTACCTTTTACAAACAGGTCCCATCTGTTCCCCTAAGGGATACTCCTTGCTTTGTGGGATGGGTGGGCCAGCTGGTGAGGATTCTGGGGAATAAGTAAAGCAAAATGCCACTACTTGGCAGGACCCCAGGACTGTTGTTCTAGCCACCCAATGTTAAACAACTTATAAGGATTTTGGTGTGTGCTCCCTTGGATTTTTGGCACCACCTCTGACCATTTTCAATATTCTACCCCGGTACCTCCACTCTAACAAGAGTGAAGCATGGGTTCTGGGACAATGTTCTCTGGGACCTTAAAAGGGAGCAGAGTGTCTCATGCCTTGGTATGGACATTTACAACATCAGTTCATTCTTTCAAACCTGACAGGGACCATGCACCAATTGGCAAATGACACAGCTTATGGCCTCTGGGATATTCAGCAACCTCTGTATTCCCTGGCAAATGTGGTCCTGGATAATCAGATAGCTTTGGATTATCTACTTGCTTAGTGGAGGTATCTGTGCCCTGGCCAACACCTCCTGCTGTATGTATATTAACAACTCTCAATAGCTGGAGCTCAATAGGACTAGAGAAAGTCACCTGGATGTGAGACATCCACAACAACCCTTAGTACACCAGTACATCCTCTCCTTGGGGATCCTGGTTTCTCTCTATGTTAACCCCTATTCTTGTCTCACTCCTGATGATATTCCTTTTCCTTCTTTTTGGCATTGTCTGCTTAATCTCCTTGCCAGATTTGTCTCCTCTAGGCTCAGTGCCCTCCACTTCTGGGTGACTGCTCAAGCTGAGTACCAACCTCTGTCCCAGACCACAACCTATCAGCCCTTGGACCTGGCATCGGCCAAGTTCCAGACACTGACTAGAGAACCAACTCCTTGACCAGAGGGACCCCAGCAGACAGGGACAGCTCTAAGCCCAAACCCGGCAGGAAGCAATTTCAGAAGCTGAGACCATCATCCCTAACCCCAAAAGATTTTGTTCAAGGGGGGAATGTTGGGGTGCTTGGGTGCTTATACTTAGGCGCTTATGTTTGGGTGCTTGTACTTGGACCCCAACTTCTCCCTAGCCTCAGAAACACTGTCCCTTGATAATCATGTGGGATCAATTGGGCCCCAAGGAGGGCCAAAAACCTAAATTAATCTTTTGCTCTCTGAGTGAACTAAACACACCCCTTCCTGTGTCAGCAAATTTCAGGACCAGATGGAGCTGATCAGTATTCTTCCTGTTTGTTATCACTGGGCCCAGGATGTCTGGGACCAGATACTCTCTTGAATAATGGGATTTTTCTTATCTTGAGTTTCAATTGAGAACTGACCACTCCTTAACCACTCCCTAATCCCACCCTGAATCACCTAGTTAGCATATTTGACACATGTTTTATTGCATTTTTTCCTAGATAAACTTTACCTGTACCTCTCTAAGGTTGCAGGATCCTTTAAGAATCCTTGCCCTCTGAAAAGGGTAACAATAAACTTTGCCACCTTGGCTCACAGAATACATGAGTCTGTGAATTCATTCCAGACCACCAGTCCTGTACTCTGGTCTTTGAGGGGTCACAACCTCTCAACCTCTTAGCCCACAACACTCATGTCTAGGGTTTCCCCAAAGAAGGTTCTATGAGTAAAGATACTCAATGTGAAAAGTAGTTATCAAGTTACAAGACAGATTTTGCTTTCCTCCACCTCAAAGGAAATGCTTAAAATCAACAAGATTCAAAATTAAGCATTGACAGAGAATTAAAATATGAAACAATGACCTAGCAACTAATGTATGTTTGGTCATAAACTTCTACCTTCTCCACAGATCTGACAAGTAAACCATTCCTTACTCTCCTCATTTGTTTATATATTCAACCTTGATGTCTAAATAGCATATTCATTTTGACCTTATTTTGGCACACGGTGTAAAATGTTGGTCTATGCCTCCTTTCTGCTGTACTATTTTCCAGTTTTCCCAACACTTTTTGCCAAATATGGAGTTGTTGTCCCAGAAGCTGGAGTTTGGGGGTTTATCAAAAAGAAGATTACCATGTTATTGATTACTGTGTCTTATGTACCTAACCTATTGCACTGATCCACCACTCTATTTCTGAGGCAATGTCAAGGAGTTTTCATGATTG